ACTTCAAGATCTCCTAAACTTTGATCGACGTGATTCTTTTGATGTGGAAATGAGATTGAAGAGATTCTTTTGTTTTGGAAATGAGATTGAAGTGAACTGATCAGTTCTAGTTTTGATAGTTGTGCTTCGAGATCTTCTAAGCTTTGATCGATCTGATTCGAATCACCACTACGTGCCGAGTTCATGATCCTTTAGGAGTCATTTGAACTTCAAAGACTCATCTGACTACGATTCTTCATGATCCATTCGGGGAATCCCCGTCCCCTAAATAGGGGACGGGGATCGCCCCCCGTCCCCTATGGGTAACTTCGGGGATCCCCGAATCATTCGGGGACGGGGCGAGGGCCTACTCATAGCCCCTCATCCTCCCTCATCGCGCCTGTCGACTTAACATACATACATACAAACTTGAGATCTGTTTGATTGAGCTCTATAGCTTTGACTTTGTACTACATTACGGTGGAGATAAGTAAGGTCAAGACCTCGATTGCAATTGATCAGAACAGTCGTAGTCTCAAGATCTTAAATGCATTTCACTTTGAAGTTTGAACAGATCAAGTGGCTTGTACCTCAGTCGCTTTAGCCTTGTGAGGCTAGCGTTGGACTTTGCCAATTTGTGGCTTGTCAATGTTTAGTGTGGTCCGTGACCACAAGTTCTGCCGCAAAAGTCAAGCAGTTTGGCGCGGAATTTTTGGCATGAAGTAAGAACGACAGGAGTATTACCGTTTATGAAGGCGAAAGAAGGCCGAGACAACTTTAAGCAATGCCAAAAAAAAAGGCGGGACAGCGTGCAAGAAGATTGAACAGACTGCATACCTGGAACGGATGTTACTATTTATACATGTCACTTGAAGAAGGGATCCTGTATCATCATCATGGAATCGTTAGCGATTTCAAATCAGTGAGACATGAACTACAAGAGGAAAGACCATGTTAACAACATGGTTCAAGAGAGAACAAGCACTAAAAATTGATAATTTGAGATCCGTGAAAGTCAAACAAAAGGCAAGCGAAGTTCCTGCACAGCATGTATAAATAAGATGGAGACACTGATATATGGTGTCTTGGTTGAGTTGAATGGGTTGGCTATGAAACAGAATTGTCAAAGTGGCTGAGTATCTGACCGGTTGTACATAGTGCCTTAAACTCACTGTGAGCGATGGGGTATAAAAAATGGTGTGATAAAGACCACCAAATGATGGAAGCCTTAGAGCGAGAACTAAAGGATGTTGCCACAGGTTGTTTTGAGACTTTTGTGGCTGAGCAGATATGTTCGCATGACTCAGCGTGATCTGTGCGCTGAGAGCAGACGAAACAGACGAGTGTGAGTCGAGGTCAGACTAGTCTGGACTCAGATCGACTGGAGTGTGAGTCGAGGTCAGACTAGTCTGGACTCAGATCGACTGGAGTGCGGATGCAGACCAGTCTGGGTGGAGTGCGTAGGTCCAGACTGGTCTGCACAGTTTGGACGAGTGGAGTGCAGACTGGTCTGAATTTATCTGCAGGCACACGGAGTACACAGACCAGTCTGTAAGCAGAGGCAGACGAGTCTGTAGGCGGAGGCAGACGAGTCTGGGTGAGACTTTGAGATTCACAAGTCAGACGGGGCCGAAATGGGAGGTCTGGGAGGTCTGGGAGGTCTGGCGATTCTGCTACGGTAGCATACCGTTTGCTTTTTGTTTTTTTTCTTCGGTATTCCACCGAGGGGCTTGTACGCTACAGGTGGAGTTTTGAATCAATCATCATGATTACAACTTATTCAGCTCACTCGGCGCTAGAAGGATTGTCCACTTCGCTCTATCCTCATGGTTAGGATGTTAGGATCACAGTCAAGCAAAAATTCATTTAGTTTGCTGTTGCATTACGCGATCTTCAATTCCCACTAGATTCCCATTATATTTATATCAGATTATGCGAGATGAGAAAGATTTTGACAAATGATACAATAAAATTATGAGATTGGTGTGTTACACCATCATTGCTGCCACATGGCAGAATCTATAAAAACTTAAAGAGACTTTCCTTTTATTTCAATTAAAATCATTCCACTTAAATTGGTTCCAATACGATTGAATATGTCCAGTAAATCTTGACAATATTCCTTCAGGTGGGGGTGGTTCAACCAATGCAATGATGGCCGTCTCAAAACTCATTCGTGTAGATGGTTGAACTTGGTTTTGATCTCCTTGAAGAGTAAAGGAAGCATGCGGAATATTGATCCCGTGACCATCATGAGCCCTAGCATCGTGTTGCATAAATACCCAAACTTCGTGTGGTTCTTGTTCGCGTAGATAAACCCATCTTTGACCTTTCCTATACCTCCATGCCTGAAGTCCATTTTCAGTATCTGTTGGTCCAATTTTCCACTTCATAGCATCATCTTCCAAGAGTGAATCCCATTTACAAAACCCAAGAGGATTGTCTTGAACAGTATGAATAGGTCTCCAAACATTTAGGATCATGACACCTTTACCTCCCAGTTTTTCTGCAATTTCAATGTCCGTCGGATCCTTCGACTCCATAAAGACTTCTTGTAATGCTTCTTTCACAACTTTGGCCCCTTCTGGTGATAGATCAGAGTGAATTACTGGAACTGGTCTTATTGAGTCATCTGAAGTGTGATCTCTAAAAAAAGCTGCATAGGAGAATGCAGTTTTTGCTCTTGTCCTACAGATTTCAAAGTCAATGAGCCCCTGTTTTTCTGTTTGTAAGCAGAGATCTCCTTACAGCTCTTTGACGAGTTCAACGGAGTCTTCCTCCAGGGCATCACGATGCTCATCCGATAATTCGCGCATTTTTTCGATTCCTGTAACATGCCTTTCGGAGACATAGGTAAATCCATCTGTTTTCAAATCCGGGACTTCTCCTAAAGCTCGAAGGTCATGAAGAGGCACTTGTTGGGGATTCGAGTCATCGATTTCAAAGGTCTGTTTGGCTTCATTCCCTACGTAATGGTAAACCTCGCCCAAAACTGTTCCAGGACCTAATCAACATCCAAGTGAACCCGAGTTTGGGTTAGTATTGAATAATCATCTGAAGCTGTGGGAAAAGTGAATGTATACGTACTTGTTAATTCTCGTTTAGAAAAGCTCCTGCATTTTGTTACATCATTATGCAAGAGGACGAAAAAGATAAATTTTCGTAAAGAAGATGAATACATTCAAAAACAATAGTTCGGAAAGAATATGCTTGTGATAAAAATGCCCCTTCGCTAGGATAAATTTGGGGATGACTTCAACACCACTGATACATACAAGATGAAATTTCCCTCGGATCATCCTTTCATCTATAGTGAGACATTGATTCAATTGCTGTGTAAACCTGGTCATGTTGAGACCTTAGTCTCGGATTGGTAGAATTGTTCTGGATTCTAGAATGTGAAGTTTAAGGAAGTGTGGTTCTTTGGTTTTCAGCTAGATTAAGAGTGTGTCAGGTTTGGACGAATGTATTCTCCGGGAGGGAATCTTGCTATTTAGTATCAGTTCTGATTCAAGAGATGTACGGAAAAACGCCCGCCCAGTCCTGCACTCGCGCGGCCTCAGGAACCCATAAACCACAAGTGGAACTGAAGCCTTTTCCATACTGGCGACAATTAAATTTGATAGGACTTTATGGTCACAATCAAGCTTGTGCGATCTTCAAGTTGCAGATTGTAATTAAGATTATCTTACTGATCATACATATACTGCGTGTGAGGTGAAGAAATATCACATGAGATCATAGGTTTGACAGATGAAGGAAGATCGCAAAACAAATCGAAGCGATTGACATCACCAATGCCCCCAGACAACAAAATTTGAAAGGGTTAAAAGTTCAAGGAGGGCTTCAATTTTTGTAATATCAACATCTGTTCTAGTTTGCTTATTTCAAAAATAATTGAAGTTGTCTAGCGAATCGTGACATTGTTCCTTCAGGTGGCGATGAGTCAACGATTGCAATTATGGCCGTCACATGGAACATTGATCCTGTGCGCATCAGGTTCCCAAACATTGTGTTGCATCAATACATAAACCTCGTCAGGCTGTTGATAACCCAAGAAAACCCATTCTTAGCCTTTTCTATACCTCCATGCCTGAACTGCATTTCCGGTATCCGTTGGCACGATGTTTCAATGCGCCACATCTTCTTCCAAGAGTGAATCCCATTTGCAAATAACAAGACAATTGTCTCAAACAGCGTGAAAGGGTTGCCAGACGTTTACAATCACAATGTCTTTACCTGCCAGCTTCAGGTGCTCTCGAAATTCGACCTCACTTGGATCCTCTGACGTCGAAAGATATTCTTCTACATACCTCTTCGTATATTTGGCCCCTTCCGGTGACATGCAGAGTGAATAAATGAGATTGGTCTTGCTGAGTACGGTGACTGGTGATCTCTAAAAAAAAGGTGCATAGGAGAATGCTAAATTTGGATCCTGCCCAGCAGATTGAAAGCTTTGTTCTGTTTGAAGAAAATTTGCTTCCTTACAACTCTTTCACTATTTCAACCGCGTCTTTGTCCAAGGCATCGCAGTGCTCTTGAGATAATTCCATCAATTCTTTGATTCCTGCCATACACCTTTGTGGAACATACATAAATCCATCTGTTTGCAAATTCGGTACTTCTTTTGTAGTTCGAAGGTCGCGTTGACTTCAAATTAAATCATGTTCAGGCTAGTATTGAATAGCCATCCGAAGTCTTGGAAAAGAAGATGAATGCATTAAAAAAATCAATCAATTCAGAAAGAATATCGCTCTCGCTTCGCCGAAAGAAAGGGGAAAGAATCCAACACCGATCATACGGAAAATTCTTTGGATCGTCATTTTATTTACAGTGATGCATCTTCCTGATTCCCTCTTGCAACCCAGGTCATACTGAGACCGACCTTGAATCAGTCTCAAGTGGGATGTTGCTCTACATGCTGGTGAAGTGTAGGAACGTGCAGCTCTTTGGTTTGGACTTGAATGAGGAGTGTTTCAGGCATGGTGTGGAGAACAAGTTTTCGGGACGGAATCGTGCTTCAACTCTTTGAGCTTATAAAACTCTGCACCAGCATAATCTTTATTATCAAACACTCGTCTGAGATACACATTTATGAGTATTTTGTGGTGAAGTCTGATTAGCGAAAAGCGAAAATGTTCCGATGAAGAAGGCAACCATATTGACATACATCTACAACAGAGGGCCTTCCTTGGGTCGACTGCCCTTGCCGTATGAGGGTCCCGCGCTTGATGAAGCTTGTGTTAATTAGCTAGGCCGACTCTGGGTTGCATATGGTCTCATCTACTCCGTCAGAATAAGAAACTGACTGGTGGACATTTTATTTCAATCACCCTTTCCAATTGGTACCAACAAGTTTTAGAACTTGAAAAAACATGGAAAGCGGTTTCTCCATCAAAATGCTTATAAGTAATCAGCACATCACGATTACAGATCCTTGTGGCTTGAAAGATGACAGGCATCAAGAAGTTAGAACCTGTTAGAATCACACCGTAGAATCATTTCTTCACCATGCAACAAACCCTCGGTGCCACAACTGGGGACCCAAAAAAACCTGAGGTGTAAAATCGAGCTAACGCCAAAAGCTTGACCTCTTCAAGGAGGCTTCTGCGATAGTCAAACTATGTTGTGTGTAGCTCACAAAACGTGTGACGATAGTTGACGATAGCTCTTAGATCACTAAGGGTACTCAAAGTAAGTATGTACGTGTACATACTTTTTGCTATATACTTTTTTTGGCGGGGAAGGCGAGGCCAAAAGTATATTTTTTTTCTTTGTCCCCGCCAAAAAAAGTATGTAGCGAAAAGTATGTAGCGCTACATACTTTGCTTTGAGTACCCTTACTGTTTATTATTGGGATCGAAGCTCTGAATAGTATGGGTGGCTTACTAAGCAAGGACTGAAATCAAGACTGATGACTGATGAGGTGCTGATGAGTTTGATATCAGATTATCAATCAAACTAAAGTGTGTAGGTATGTATGATAATGTATGATATGACGTCAGGTACGGAGATATCATCGAGAATCTTTAAACTTTTCACAATCACTATAAATCAACTCATTCGATCAATCAAAACATTCCAAAAGTTGAATTCATCCTTTCATTCATACGATCATCTGCGTCATCATCATCACATCTATAGAATCAAAACAAACACAGCCATGAGTAAGATTGATATTCTCGCAAAGCCAGTGACCTTCAAAGGTGGTCTATCTGCACCCAAGTCAGTACTCCGATTAAACTCATTTATTAGATCTTCATCATTCTTCTTACTGGTCATTCTTCTTCCCAATCTCAGTCGAGTGCTGAAAAGTGCCATGACCGAAAGGTTGTGCACTTATTCGGAGACTGACTTAGGTGAAAGAGGTAAACCTACACCTGAGTATCTCAGATTATATAAGCTTTGGGGTGAGGGCCAAATTGGGATCATCGTACTGGTATGTCAGCATGCCCTTTACTGGTTTGTATCACATATCACTGCTACCTGGAACTCAATTTGGGTTACTTTCTGGACCATCTCAAAGGGAAACATCCCGATTCACAGAGAAAACTTGGAAGCCAAAGGAAATGCAATCATCGACAAGGACTCCCCATGTTTGTGGTTGACCTTCGGAAACACTTTTCCACCTTCTTGTATTCTTCCTGACCATCGATCACGTGTGGTTACTTTATACAGGGGATCCCGTAGAGGCTTTCAAGCCTGTGATCGCGGCCGCCAAAGCTCACGGCTCTCTTGTCATTGGGCAACTAACGCACGGTGGGCGTCAAACAGCGACAGAAGTCAACCCTAGTCAGCACGTCGAAATCAGAGTCTACCCATACTCACTCAAGACTGATGAGCCCTGCTGACACTCGTTCTCTTCGCTCCAATCGTAATTGTCGCCCTGAAGACCCAGTATCATCTTCTGAGAGCAAATGTCCTGACAACTTCGGAATGACTTTCTCGAAGGCGAGGGCGCTCACTGTTGAAGAGATCAAGGTTAGGACTCCCTATCTTTGCTTTGCCTTCTGAGACAACGATTCCAACTGAGTTAAGTGGTGCCCTCCTTTTCTCAGGACCTTGTCGATCGTTGGGCATTCGGAGCTGAGGTTCTTTACAAAGCTGGAGCTCATGGTGCCCAACTTCATTGCGCACATGGATATCTGTTATGTATGCCTCCATGACCGATGATAATAAGTCATCACTCGTGTCTTTGTGGTTCAAAGCTCATCAGATAATTTGCCTTTTGAAATAGCCCAATTTCTTTCTCCGCATGTCAATCGCCGGACTGACGCATACGGTAAGCTGCACTGCTCTCATTGAAGTACATAAAGCTACATAAAGAATATGACTAACACGTGCGAAACGATTCGGATAACTCAACAGGAGGATCTTTCGAAAACCGAAGCCGAATTATTTTCGAGATCATCTCCGAGATCAAAAAGAGAGTGACTGACCCCAAGTTCATCGTATCGATCAAGTACAATTCTCATGAGTTGAGTGATTTTTTGTTTTGAACCGAGAAGTGGCTAGCAGTCTTCCTGATGAATGTATTCTCTTGAAGTTTTATTGAAGGTGGGTTTTCAGTTGAAGATAGTCAGAGGATGGCAAAGCAGATGGAAGCCGCAGGGGTGGAGTTGATTGAACTTTCCGGCGGTACCTATGAAAACCTACCTTTTGAGGAAAAGAAGGACAGTACCAAACGCCGTGAAGGGTAAGTTTTGAATCTCAATTTAATTTGGCATCTCCACATTTCTTCAAGTAGAAAGCTCATTTTCATCTTACATCTTCTTGCTTACCAGGTTCTTTATCGAGTTTGCGGAGAGACTTAGACCTCATTTGACCGGAGAATCTGTCCTAGCCGTCACTGGAGGCTTTCGAACTCTAGCCGGGATGACCGATGCCCTGTCTTCTTCTGATAGGATTTGCGATGTTGTTGGATTGGCTAGACCTCTTGTGCCTGAGCCACACCTGATTGCTGATATCATTTCAGGAAAGACTGACAAGGCCAAAGAAAACAAAATCCCGGCCGAGCTTCAGATCCCTGCTGCTTACGCAATCTTGAAGGAAATTGGTGATGGACTTCCCCCTGCAGACTTGAGTGATGACGATTCAGCAAGTCGAATTTCTGCACTGGTCAAGGGACTTCCTTACAAAATGAAATGATGGGAAGGGGTTTAAATCTTGTTCATGAACCAAGACACTCGTTTTACCTTGAACTCCACTTGTCCTAGAAGACATGATACTTTTGTAAATTTATTCTATCTTACACTCTCTGTTTTCATGTGTTTTTTCCAATGAGATTCTGCAGAGACCTTTCCAGCCCACCTTGATAGATGCACTCTACTTATCTACCTATCAATCCACTCCAATAGGCCTTCTCTTCCACATCAAGGAAACAAGCAATAAGTCATGAAGAGATCTGGGGAGCTGAATTGATTGGAATCAAAGATTTCGAGTCAACTGTCTTGACTTCTTGTGGTGTGGTCCCCATGCAGAGGGCCCTCATATCTCTTGCAAAACTGCCCAAGATATTATCCTGATTCTTCCCATGGTATGTCCAGTGATCTAGAAGTCCAGAATATACTGATAAGTTGCTTGCCTGAGGTATAATCAAATCATCATTTCCTTCACAAGCAGAAGTGAGCAAGTATTAGCCAGGATATTCTATTTAGGTGTGTAATGAAGTAGGAACTTGAAATGGGTAATGGAAGGTGGGTATACAAAGCCCAAGCAGTTGCGATGGTCATGAGTGGCACACAAATATTCTCTCCAATGAGTTTTTCATGTTGCTCTCTCAGCTCTCCAGGCTGTGATCATTTTAATGACTCCATGTAACGCACCCCTATGAAGGTTTTTGCAAACACCGCCCATCAACCCAAGGACACCATTCACAGGGAGCTTAGCTTACAAGAACCTGATGTAACAGTCTGGGGCCGTGCAGCCCCTGTACCATTCCTTCTTAACTCATGGTATTAGTAAGAAAGGCTACCACAGTATCCACCAAGTTGCCAACCCTTGTACGCTCTTGTTGTATTTTTTTTTGGTACGCCTCGAAGGTGGACTAGCAAACAGTTTCATTGGGTATTGTAGACAATGATGATTTCTTTATGTTTGCCTGGTCTGCTGTGAAACCAATTAGACCACAGTAGGTGGTGATTGGCAAAGCCCGAGAGCTTACAGATACAAGGAAGGAACCTGAGCAAACAATCAAGGAAAGTTGAAGGGGGATAAGTTGTTGGAAGATTGGATGAAATCTAGATCACAATTGATAACATAGCGGGGGTATACAATCGAGAACGTTATGATCAAGGTGAGAAGAATATGTATAAAAATCGGAGTTGTAAACTAATCACAAAATGTATTGCACATACCGACTCATCTTGGCTTTGATAGCTTTTGATAGAGATAGAGCGGGGCGGAGCTCTGGTAAGCTCTGGTCACTGATCAGTTGTGATAGGTGATCAATGTGAACAGCATTTGATGGGAAATTAATGTTGAAATCTGATTGGTGCTGATGGTTGAAAAAAGGAAAAAAACAGATTCTCGTTGTCCAGATATCCCGAAGACGGATTTACGAGATCCAGATCGCTTGACTCTGAGCAACTTGAACAAGTCTTTGACTCTCTTCACAGCACTTCGCATTGACCAAGAACTGAACTTACGCTTCTGTATTCCCGGTGCAGACTGTAGTAAGCACCGCCTGGGCAACAGCGAGCAACTTATTTCAAAAAGCTTGAATGATCAGAAGTTGCCCTTTCAAGATCACCTGACTGAATATCGAGTACCTCATCATCATCAGTTCAAAGTCAGTTGCACTCTAAGGTGCTTTAACCCTTAGTAATTTTTAACCATCAAAGTCAAAAGACCCTGCCTGCCCTGGTAAGATCTCTTATTCATCACTTTGGCTTAATACAAAGGAGTATGCAAACTAACATCATGAAGATTTGAAAAGTAAATCACTAATTAAATCTTTGTCAGACCAAAAGAAGAAGATGAAGTACGAGCAACGAACTGGTGAAGCCAATTATGATTATCCTTACTCACATCCTACACCTCAAACATCATTACCTAATCATTCGCAACCAGATTGTCAACACATCTTACCAATGACAAATGACCAAGAAGATGATACGAATAGGAACTTATCAGCTAAACTCAACACCAATCAATCTTCATTACCATCACCCACAGCAAATGTTAGCAGAAACTCATCAACAGAGGAAAATTCAAAAGAAGAATCTCAAAAACCAATTCGACCTAAACTCATCAATCCACATTCAACTTCTCAAACACTTTCAAATAGTTCTAATCGATTTCAACTTTATCATCATTCATCAACTTATCAACTCATATACAAATCTTTATTAATCTTTCTACTCTTTATTCAATCTTTCGTTTTGATTGGTTTCTTTGCTTCAGTTTATATCTCATTAGATGGTTTTATAAAAATTTCAGAAAGTGTTGAATATCGTACCATCTTAGCTTATCTCGTCAGTCTCTTTTGATTTCATTCACTTTGAACATTCATTCACTCTTCTTACATTCCGAACTACCTTCTAGCTCATCTTCATCATCGCCACCATCTTTTCCGTTTTTATTGTAAGTCGCGTGTCATATACATACTCGATTGTCAATTCACTCAAATCTCACATTCCTTTTTCATTTTGAGGCTATCGATTCACTTCTTAGTAAAAACGTCAATCAACTGATCGGATTATGTCTCTTCAACATAGCCATGAGTGTCTATGGAGCTGTTCGTAAACGATGCTTCACCTTTGATTTTCTGGCGAAATACCCTTCTAATCAATTGATTTATTCAGATTTTACCAAGACAGATCAATCATACCATTGAACCATTATCACCAGGAAGTCTATCTGCTGATCAATTACATTCAATCCAATGGAGAGTTATCGTTGTCCCTGCGATCTCTGGTTTCTGTTCAATCATCCTTTTCATGCTCACCTGGTATTTCTATCGCGAATTCGGTATGTATCATCGAATTTTTCGACACATAAGAGATCAGATCTCAACTGATTCATTCATCTTTCACAAACGCGTAAAAACTCACAGGGTGGTATATGTATAAACAACTTGGCGCAGATATCAAATTGAGGAAAGCATTGAGAATCAAGTATACATTTTACATGTTACAGAAATTCAACCTCTTCTTTCTCATTGGATTCTGTATACAAACTGTTCTTTACCATGGCTCCAATCCAACGGTACAGAATATCGTTTTACCATCAATGTGAGTGATGTTTTGATATATCACAATCGCAATGCTTGATTCATTGTCAAAAATTGAGTCTTTGATAACACTCGATCTGTATATCTCAAGTGCATTGCTAGTGAGCTGCTTCGTAGTGTAAGTTGATTACAAATCTCAAAGATCATCATGACCAGGTTCCCAAGCTGACAAATCTAATTCCTTCCTTCCTAAAAGCCTCCTTGCTTCCGTTGCGGTTGAGCGCGAGTTAAAGTGGATCATGGCACTTTATTATCTAGTGTGGACATTGGCCATGGTGAGCACTTCTCTTTGTCTATGAATTTTAAGCCGAAGAAATCTACTTACCCGGGTTTTTCCCCTCATGTTCAGACCTTTTTATGTTATGAAATTGCGAAGATCTACCCCAAAGCAACAGAGGCTCACATTCAACGTAGCTTTATCCTTTTTGCTTCCTTGACTTTTGTTATGTTGCTCTCCACCGGGGTCTTCTCTATCATTTGTTGCTGTAACTTTGGTATCGGCCTGAAGGAACGTCGTAAGCCAAACTTTTAACTCTTAACTTCCATTTTCCTACCATCATCTACAGGTGTTGATTTTCCTTTCCGAGGTTTGTAGGACTTCGATCTCCTTGGTCAGCGGCATTGCACAGCATGATGAGCAATGGAAAGGCCCAAGCTGATTCAAATAACCCTGACAATTGCCTTCACCCCGCAAATTCTCGTCCAATACTCGATTAAAAACCTGTATCATTCTGCCCGTGCTTTGTTTTTTGTGCAGTTAGAGGATATGATTAAGTCAATCTATATGTATGCACAAACATCCCTTTTTTTAATTTTGTTTGTTTAATTGTATCTCTTTCTGGACATTGGATTTGTTTGTGTACCTTTCTCTTTTTTTAAAAATACGAACTTAATGCCTGGCGCAGTGTAGTATTGCTTTTGTCCTGTCTCAACGCTTCTTTTTGATCTTGACACTTGTCAAGAAATTGATAACATTCATCGTCAGCAGTGTATATACCATACCTCAACCACAATCTTTAGAATCCAAACACGATCTTTGCAAGTGTACAACATCACAACTAGTCTGAATACTGCAGAGAAGCTTTTGGTACATGCTCTGGAGCCCAAGTCAGTAACCTGTTGTTTTGCATGTTAGAAAGGCTGAAGTCATTGCTGCTTTTGGTTTGAAAAACAAAATGGTTTGGGTATTTTACTGTCCCTCTGCCAAAACAGCCCTTTGGTCTACAGTCCAATATACTCAAATTGAAGCAAGAACTATAACTCTCAGAAGTGTCAATTCAAATACCCAAAGCCATTTGCCTCCATCTGCTTCTCCACTACAGGCATCATGGCTCTTTTTGCCACAACAGGCAGAGCTAAGCCTAGAGGGGCAAAAAGTTCACTCCTTTAAAAGGTGCCTGGTCATAAGCAAACTGGTTTGATCAGTCCCTATTTGGTAGCCACAGGATTGGGGGCATCGAAAATTCTTATTGAATCTCAGGTAGACCCAAGACAACTTTCAAAGATTTTGTGGAACCATTTTGAATGTGATTGTTCACATATTGAATGTGGTAATAGTAAATCAAGATATCAGAACTCCAGAATTGCAATTGTGAAAACAATGTCATCAGGTATGCACAAAGCTCCAAAAGACCAAGAAATGTAGCTCAAGAGGCATACTAGAAAGAGGAAGAGTGAAAATAAATTGATAACACCCATAGAACGTGGGTCTTTTTTGAATTTCCCTACTAAAAATGAACAAAAGATATTAGGATTCTGACTCAGGTTGTGTGCACACATGGTTTTGAAAAGACCAGACCTTGGAATATTTTGTGACCTAAGCTCATCAACTGGACTCCACTGTGTGCATCAGGTGAACATTTTTTCTCCAAACAGATGTCAACAATTTTCACAGAATAATCTAGAACAAAACAAGACCTATTCTAGTTCTCAATTTTGATTTGTTTTCAGACCAATGCACTTCAGAGAACATTCAGATATCTTTCCCACTGATCAACAAGACAAGAATCTGTTGATAAATTTCAACATTGGTAGTACTAGAACTTGGATCCTTTTTGGGAGAAGTGAATAAGATTTCATAGAGATCTGTACTACAGTATGTTTAGGCACTTTGGTTTAGGTAATGAAATAAGAAAGGCCAATTCTGAACTTAACAGAGATTTGAGCAACTATCTGAAACAAACTTTCCTTGGAAAAAGGATGTACCCATAACTTGAGATTTGAGAACCATAAAGCATATTTTTTGGTTATCGTTGTACTAGGTTGTGTGGTCTGGGACATAATTGAAGCTTTGTGATTTGGTTCATGTATTGGCATATGTAACTTGTAAAGGGATCAATGGGTATTCCTTCTGGGATTTTTTTTAATCTTGAATGATTTGTGTTTATGCAGTTTCAAATCAATTGAAGAAGTCCTCATGACTATCTACAGCAATTGTGATTTCATTCAGTATGTAATGGTGTGTTAAACTCTTTAGGTTTAGTGTGATTTGATAGGGAAAGCATCACTAGTGTTCCCTAATAGCCAAGTGAATCTTTTTTGATTCAAGATCAATAATGATGGTGAGGTTTAATAAACTCATCTTGACTTAAAAAATCCAATAAATCAACCTCTCAAAAACATTTCCTTTCATGCCAAAAAAAACCAATCCAATTGTAGGTTGTTCCATTAGTTCAAAGAAAAAAACAAGTTCGTTTTAATTTCTTTTGTAGAGAAAAATATTTCTATGAAACAAAAACCAACCCATGAAAAATTACATTTTTTTTTACTATCAATACAAATTCAAAACCAAGAAATAAGACACCCATCAATTTAGAAGAGAGAAATATATATATATATAATTATATTATTTAAGACTTATTACACATTTACATAGATCAAAATTGAATAAAGAAAAATAAAAAAAAAAACGTTAAAAAAGATTCAAAAGAAGAGTGGAAAAAAATGTCATCTTTTTTTTTCTTGAAAAAAAAAAGTTTGATCAATAAATAATCCAACAAAAAAACCAAGTTTTGAGGAGAAAAAAAAAGAAATCCATAAAACCAAACAAAAAACCCTTTTTTTTTAAAAAAAAAACCACATCGTAGCCACATTTCATTCAAATCCCAAATCCCAAATCCAAATCTTAAATTATCTTTTCAATCCATTACTAAACACATTCGATTTAGGATTTCCAATATCTTTCTGAACCGGCATAGGAATCGAAATATGTCCCACCCCACTAGGTTTCCTAAGATGAACAGGCTGATTAGGAAGACCCACCACAGCCATACCCGTTGCACTTTTCATTGAAGCTTGACTTTTCTTTCTCATCTGATTGCTCAACAAAGGTGAAGGGATCTTAGTAGGCGAAGGATGATTGGTAGGAGAAAGAATCGGTTGTGGTTGTGATGGATTAGAAGTACTATTAAACCTATGATGAGAATTGATGGTATGATTGTTGTTCGGTTGATGATTAAGTAGTGTAGAAGGTGATGAATGTGGTAAGATTCCAATAGAAGAAGCAGTAGGTGATGAATTCTCTGGAGTCTTTGAAATCGTGGTCGTTGTGTTTGCAAGTTGATTTGAATCAAAGAATTGTTCTTCGATTGGATTCTGATTAAAATCTTCTATAATCAAATTTGTTGAACTTGATAAATCATCTCGACCTGAGATTAAGTTTTCGTTTTGTTGTCTTCTAACTTTTTCATGTCGGTTTTGAATCGTTTTAAAGTGTAAAAGTAATGAATTCCATGGGATTTGTTCAGTGATCGATTCATTAGGTTTGTTCATATTCTTATTGGCTCGAGAATTGTTGATGGTTAAATTCGAATTCGTCCTAGTACCAACCAAAACAAATGTTTCAGATTGAAAAAATTAATTAAAGAAGATCAAAAATGTTTTCAGTTTATACAGCTTGTGAGGTTTTGTTTTCGCACAACGACCCTTTTATTAGGCAAAAGATGACGACTTCCTCAAGGTTAATGAGTCGTCTTGGAACTCACGTTTTAGGAATCGCATGTGCGTACCCCAAAGTACTAACGGCTCCTAACCGATTCCTCAAAGTAGCAAAAGCAGAACTTTGAGGTAAAAGCATCAAGATACCATAAAGGGCCTTATAAAGAAAAGGATATTTATCAGGTTCAAGTAATTGTAACCTTAGCGCTTGAAACTCAATGGAGCAAAAGAAATATCAGTCTTGATCTTCAGATTTTCATGAAAAAAAAGCGATTCAAGATACAAGTTAAGTTGGTTGTGGATGGAAATCAACTCACAAGTGAAAATCGGACTTTCTAATAATTGAACCAGTTTATCAACTTGAATCAATAAACCAACTGTGATTTCCATATCATTAGCCAAGATCGAAAGTAAATTAAATGCATGTTCATATGCCACTGGAGTTAATAAACATAATGTTAAAGTTGAAATCGGATTATGACTAAACGATCGATATAAGTTAATGAACAGATGACAATTATCTTTGGTTTCTAATTGTTTTAATTTCTTTCTCATCTCACTTAGTTCAGGTGAAGTGATCATAATCAAATTCAAGTTTTGAACCATTAATGAAGCGAATTCTAAATCCTAAGAGTTTCTCCAAGTTAATCGAAAGTTTCGAGTTGGATTTAATCAATGAAAGACAAAGAAAAGAGCATGAGTTCCATTACTGATGTGTCTCCTTAGATTAATGGATTTCGAAACTTACCTCATCCTTTTCCAAATGTTCACCAAACGTTTTATAAATCCTTTCAGGATTTAAATACTGACACAAAACTCTAACGATCAAATTCCCTCTAGTTTCCAATAAATCTCGATCAGTTCCAAACAAATTCAATAAATCCAACATGAAATGTGAATAATAAACTCCATCTTGATCTACACTTAAAGATCTTAAACTGATTTGTGAAAGTAATTGTAAATCAGATCGGATCACCAATTCCGATTCGTCTGATAAAGTTTTCAATAAAGCTGGAAACGTTCCATCTTCTAATGTTAAGATCTTATCAGGTACTTTTTGATGTAACATAATTAACCATCTCAGAGCTGCTAATCTTGTTTCTTCATGTGGGTTTAGGAATTGTAAGGTTAGATTATTCACAGTATTGAAATAATCAAATGGATCTGGAATCACTTCTTCTTCAATCTGACCTTGATCTGATCTGATCGGTAACTCTTCACTTCTAGATAAGGGTTCTTCTGGAATTTTTTGATTTGGTTGAGGTCGTTTACGAGTATTAGATGATGAAGGTACATTCAAATTCAAACTAAGTGACCGATCATTAGTAGGATTCTTAGAACGAGACCGCTCTTGAGTTGGATGACTGCTTGGATGATTAAGCTTTGATTTCTCTTTTTTTTCATTACTTGACGATGGAACTGGCGTGATAGTAGGTTGTACAGGTGGTGTAGGTGTTGGTAAGTTTTCAATAGCTCTTGATAAATTTGTATTCACTTCATTCGCAAGTTCTTTAACTTGATACCGACGATGTGATAAACCTGTTAAGATAATCGGAATCAAATTTGGTGTGAATGGAATCAAAATCGATTCATCAATATGAATTAACTCATTTAACCATCTTAAACAAGTTGCTTGTGTTTCTTCACAACTTTCGTGACAATGCATCCAATTGATCAAGATCAGGACGATGGCGGGTAAGTCTAATTCTACTCCTTGACCTTGGACATAGGTTCCTAGTTCAGCATCCTCATCATCTTCAACTTCATCTTCAAACCCACGATCAAGTTGAGATTTGATTTCTTGAGGTGATGTGATGGTTTCTCTAAGATTATTAGGATTGATGGTAGTTGCTCTACTGAGTGGACTAGACACTTCAGTATTTTCATTCACTTGATGGGATATCGTCATATCAGGTGAAATAGATTGACTATTGATCGCTTGAGGTGATTCAGTAATTAGTTCAGGTTGAGATTGAATTGGGGATGGTCTCCTATCGAATCCTCCTCCTTCTTCCATCTGACGTTCAAACATTTTCCTATGTAATTTCAAGTGTTTCTTATGTAATCTTTGTTTTTCTTGAAACTCATTGGCATGGACTACTTTATCAATTTCAATTAAAAGATCGGCTAAGAGTTGTTGAACTGATAATTGAATATCTGAACCAGCATCAACGAGATATTTAAGAAGACCATCTAAAAAGTCGGGTAAGTGACTAACAAGATTGATTTCGGGAATCGAATTAAGAAGTTGTAACCATGAAACAAGGTATTGACGAGTGAATGGATTGAAATTATAAATTCGTTCTCTGAGTAATGGAATAAAATCTTCTAATGAGAAGGCTCTTTCAAGTTGAAGTTGAGATTGAGGTGATGAAACAAATGATGGTTGGGTAGGATTCATAGGTTGATTAGTCATTGAGACAATGGATGATGATGAATTGATTGATTGACGAGTAGATCGAATGTGATTTGGAATCACTGATATATAAGTAGCAGCTTGTTCAGTCACGATATCCTTGATCAGTCTATCCAAAAGTTCTGCACCATTTTTAACCGCTGGATCTGGATCAGCTGCAAGCTATAATAGAAAAAAAACAAATGTTAGTAAAAAGATCAAGATGATTGGGAAAAGAAAGAAAAAAAGAACTCAACCTTTGAAAGTGCATCAAATAACTCATTAAAATAAATCAAGATTTCTCCTTTTGCCACTTTGGCCACATTATACATAGATTCACAAGAGAAATATCGAACTTTACTATCTGCATCAGAAAAACAAGAGATGATAGGAGGTACGATATGAATTAAATGATTAGGAATCTCATGACCTAAGGCGATCGAACAAGCTGCTAAACCCATCACACCACCCCATCTCCAACTTGGATTTGAATTTAATGCAAGGGATGAAAGTTGTGATAAGATTTGATTAACTTTGTCTAATTCGTTTTTAGAGATATGATCCTTAATCTGTCTATTAAGAAGATTAAGAAGAGACTTTAGTTTTTGGATTTGAATTTGGATGGTTTGATAAAGAAATTGATGATAAGTTTTTTCAGCTTACGCTTCAAGTAAGAAAGCGGCATGTTTCCGTTTATCATAGACTGGGTTCCAAAGATTTGTTTATTTGATGATAAGTTTTGTTGTTTGATTTGATTTGATAGGTGATGATAATGACTGACCTTTATCTTGAAGTGCTCTCAAAGTGGTAATATCTGTAATATGGGATGGTTTGATTAGCTTTTGGTTTGAGTTGATCAGATGAAAGCGAGTGAGTTTGTTGAAAGAACTAACCCATTGATTTTGTTGTTTGTTGATTTGATAACTTCAACTTGGTCACTGGTCTTGGTCTTGGTCTTGGTGTTTGAAGGCGAAGTCGATGGTTTCAAGTTTCAAAGAGTTTTACAGGAAACCAGTCTCAGATCAGCTTACATATCAATACATACAACCACTTACACATCTCGTGTAAGTGTTACATGTAGCTAATTTTAAATTCAAACGCTCCAAGTGATCACCTTCATCCATTTTTCTAAATTTCATTCAACTTCTCAATCAAGATGATATCCAAAACAAAATCAAAGAAACCAACAAACTACAAAAGTAACTATCTCTCTTTCAATCCTCATTCCTCAATCTCAAAGAAAAAGAAACACTCAAAACTGATATCTTCTTTTTTGTAGATCAAAACTTATTATACTTGAGAATCTCACCAAGAGTCGTCTTGATGACCAAGATCTTATTAGATTCAAATCACATAAACTGGATGACAGATGAAATCTTAACATTAGTTTTAAAAGTTATTCAACCTAAGATCTTAATTAAATTCAAACAAGAAACTTATGATCAATCGAATTCGAATTCGAACTCGAAGACTAAATTAGATTTTTATCGTGGAAATGGAATCCAATTAGGTTATTATTTTAAGTGAGTTAAGAATGCTTTGTATCCTTTGAATTCATTGGGTTTCTGATCTTGGTTCTCTTTTGAATGAATAGAAATAATACTCCTAGACATTCGATTTTATTAAAATCAAAAGAATTCATCATGAAATCTCAAAACAAGTCTGGACCCAATGATGATCTTCCAGAAAACGTCATCAGCGATGAAGAAAATGAAGGAGAAGAAGAAGATCAAAAACCCGAACTAAAAGTCAATTATCAAGGCTTTTCAATCTTTGGCAAAACATTAATCATAGTGTAAGTCCCAGTTTCAATCATCATCAAACTCTTGTACGTTCAAACTCAAACTTCGGTTCCTTTTTTGGACGATTTAAATCACAGAGTCGAACCGTTTCCAAGTTTATCGAATTATGAATTAAATCTTTATAATCCAAACTATCATCAAACTCATCAATCAGAAGCAGAACTTTCAAGAAGAAACCCTCAACCCGATCCATCCACTTCCACTTCCACTTCAACCGATCCTCAAATCCCTCTCTTTAGACCTGAAAGCTTAATGATCGACGATGATGATGATGATTTACCGGATCTTTTCACTCAACAATCTAATTCTAAACAGAATCCTGGGCCTAATGAATCGAATTCGAATTCTAATTTGGTTGAATCAAACGATTTAAGTTCTAGTCAAACTTTGTTATCTAATTTAATTAAGAATCCAAATTTAGATCAAAACAAAAAACATTCCAATTTGAATTTAACATTAGATGGATATCTTCAAAAATAATCCTTCATTCTAGATATTTGTCTAATACTATGTGTAATTCTCAATCCTTTCGATCTGCTTCATTGTTGTTCTTTTTCATTGGTTTTGGTAGTTTTAAATCATTAGTTTGTATCATCAGTTTTCTCTCAATTCTGTAAAACTTATCTCATAATTTTTATTTATTTATTTTTTCTTGCAAGAAAATCCTGGGTGGAAAAGTGTCAAGTTCATGTATCACATTCTCAAGTTACAGTTTGCACAGTTGAGAAGTGCTTTGATCTGTAATTTGTCTTCCAGGTGCATATGGACTTGTCAATTAGCAAGGCCTGAGGCAAGAATGTCACACTGTCTACATTTGACCTGATACTGTGCAAAGTTACCTACAGGTAGAGTTTTGGGTGCTTGGAGGCTTTGAGTTGAAACTGCCTGCTCACTTCTTGTGTGCTGCCACTCTTGGTCCAGTCACTCTTGGCCGGTATCATTGCCTCATCTATCTTTCATTTTTTTGATTCCATCCCTCTTGGATGTAGTTTTTGGGGTTGGATTTCCAAAAAAAATGTAGTTCACCATGAGTTCTGTGGTGCTTGAACACTGTACCCAATGAGTCATGAGATCAAACCCAACAAATCCCACTCCTGGAGCTGATGTAGCTCAAAAGTGATTGTACACACCTTTCTTTTTTAGCAACCCCCAATCCTTGGCAATGATTATTACACATTACTGACAGATTTGTTTATCAAGTCAAACATTATATATTTTATGGTATTTACATCTAATAGTGAATGAAATTATCTGCCAGTAACACCTATTGCTTGGTGCAGCAGCACTGGGGTGTTTTGGAATAATTGGCCTCATGGCGCCCTATACTCACATATCATGACTCTCCGTAGACCACCTTTCTGTTCCTAACTTGATATGGTATATGAGTTTGAAACTCTTGTGTAATTATAATAAAAGGATACATGAGATTATGATTCAGATTGTGAGATATAAACCAAGTGAAGAAATGTGTTTTCAAGAGTTCCTCCAAGCTCAATATCCATCCAATTTGAATGTTCAGGAATTATAATCAAATATCATCTCATCTTTTGGAACGAGGGGATCTTTGATAAGCAAATTCATGGGTAAGATGATCTAAGCTTGACCAACGATTTGAAAGAGATTTTAACCAGAGGAAAACGCGTATAGGGTCTTGGATTGATTGTGGAAAGATTTGGTTCAAGTCGATTCCTGAATATTCGCACAAATGTCGTGCGAGTTGATATCTAGCCAAAATACTTGCTCCGCGACCTTCGATTCCTAGGTATGGATCAATTTCAGGGTGTAACAACCTAAAATACGCGTTTGAAGCTTTACTTGTTAACGCTGTTGTTCTACCTACTTTATTTTTTTCTTTGATCACTGTGAGTACCGTGATATAATCGGAATGTATACTGTCGAAGAGCTCTTTGACTAATGATCTCACGTCGCCTTCGATCCATGTTGGCAATGAAGTGAGCCACCAGCCCGTGGGTAACTTAGTAAGTTTGGGAACGAATACACTGGCAGTCTTCCTGTTTTCGAGAACATGGCCTGAGAGAGACATGATGTAGGTAAATAAAAACCGATCTAGCCTTTCCTTCAACTCGCCATTGCCCTCTGTAGGAAGAAGTTGTGTTGGAGGAAAATAACAAGAATAAATAATCCGGTTCATCGTGTCACAAAGCCACGGGTATAAAGGTAAGAGACTGTACCATTGAGAAGTCGGTCATAGTCTTGGTAATAATCCGCTAAGGGCGAAAGTTTTGCTGGAACAATCCTATTTGCTAGTTCGTCAGATAGTGAAATTGGCTCGATCGTCATGCCTCCGTACCAAGCTGTGCCTCCAGCTCTCTTGGAATCAAATGAATGAGCCCGGACAATAGAACTTAAGGATTCATCATCAAGGTGTAAATTTCGAAACGCTTGTCGGTCTACCTGACTAAAATAATTCAAAAGTTGCATTTCTTGCCAAACCAATCTACGCAATGTATCCTTCGCAGGGAGCTCCCTGAAGAGTCTGCTTAGAGATTCAACGCTTGGAATTGAAACACGCTCGAGGATATGGGTTTGTGCGTCCAGAGGGAGGCTACGTAACCTGCTAGCAAGTTCTTGGTCCTTTGCTTCGATCGAAGTCTTCATCTCTAGATACATGATGTCGATATATCGAGTCAGTGATCTTTGTGACTTGGGGTTTGTGTAATTCTGTCTTCAGGCCTCTTCTAGGGCGCGGCGAACGGGCTCGTGAGGAGCTTAGGACTGACCAGCATTCAAGGGGCCTATAGCACGGCGTATGCTTAGTTCCCACTGTTTGTTCACATTTGTGGGTTCCTCGGCGATTCGTAGCAGCAGCAAGAGAAGGTTCTGCGGGAACGAATACATGTCCTTGTGCTCAATCGGAACCGTACGGAGAGCAGTGTTTCCCCGAATCTTGTTGAATAGTGAAGTAGCAAGCGGCACAAACAGATCTACATTTGAGAGGTAGAGTATGTGTTAAGATCACACATCCAAGCACGAAAACTCAAATTGACTTGCCTTTTCTGTGCATCCATTTGGGCTGACGATGTGAATCCGGTGCATCAGCATCCCAACCTAATCTCAAAAAGAAACGATAAGGACGCTTCAGATTTGAAAAACGAGCCAGGAGGTAACAGATTTCGAAGACTTTGTTTGTAGATGATTGAATCAAGTGTACGACTGACGGTATGTTACAATGCGCTCAGGGTCCACATCATCGAATTCGACCATACCTGCACCCAATTTCAAAACATTGAACCAATCAGCCTGAAAGTCGTCTCGGCAAATAAAGAGAACAGATGTTCTAGCGGAAATTGTAGCAGATAGTGGTAAATCGTAGTTAGAACTCTACCGACGTCTTGCAGCGCCCAAATCACCCAGAAGGCCCCCTGGAGGGCTGTGCGATGCAACGGCATGTGCAAAAGCGAGGAGGACGACAAGTATTGATGATCGAGTGAAACACATGATCAATCGCATGTTGCGTATAACGAAAACTTGGGGCAGGATGTAAACCTTTTATATATTCGAATAGCCGTTTGTCTGGCACGATTCAGCTTTGCGTTGAGCTTGGAAAGGTCTTTCTGTTTTGCCATCCTAGCGTATGTACCACTGTGTTTGGAAGCTTGAGACCCGCTAGCTAGTACCATGAATGATTTCTTTGGTTTCGAATCCGCTTCATGAGGTTTAAACACGTTTGATGCACACTGCCGCAATTGACTATTTTGAGCAGGGAGGCAACGCGTTGGATCTGCAAGACTGCATGTATCTGCATAGTCAGGCATGTTTCGCAGTGTTAGCGCCAAGATGGGAAAATAGTAGTGAAATCACATTTCAATGTTAAAATTAGATTGATCGCCCTCTTAAATAACACCTTTGACCAGTTGAAAGTCTGCTCACCCTTAGAAAGCCTTCTCTGAGCTCAAGAAGCTTTATTGGATTTAATTGTGGTCTACTTTGTTGGGTTCTCAAAGATTTGACGAGGTCAAAATACAAAAAAAATCAAAAAAATCAAAATCGGAACCCCCAAAATTGGGCCCAGGGCCAGGGAGTAGTTGGAAACAGCCTTGAGCGACCGTAGCATACCAGAGTTCGTATAATGGTGATGATGAAATACAGGAGGGAAAAATAAAAATAGACTGAGTGGGGATTGAGATGATTGGCGCAACCGAAAACAAAAGAAGAGATTAATTTGTTTGTGAAAGTGAAAGAAATTTCATCAATGACCACGACTTGATGCAGTCCATCTACCAAAAGCGACTTCTCCAGCAAACACACCCAAGATGATCGCAATGAAGAAGTAAGCATTATAGGTCATGACCGCAAGCTATAAAACATGCACAAGGCCACCAAGACAATTCAAACTTGTCAGAATGCATCCGTGATATACGAGATAAAATCAATTCAAGTTTCGCACCATGAGGAAAGATCCTATTCCGTAATGTATAGCCGCAAGAATACCTCTAGGGATTTCATGTTCAGGAATCCACGGGACAGCATGATGGGCGCTTTTTGATAGAGATCCGGTGATCGTATCAGATTTATCGTCACCAGCGAGATGTGAACGAGGCTTTTTTCTATGAGCAGCCTTTGACCACGCAAGGTTGGCTTGATGTTTCAATGCACCCAATAGTTTGTGAAGGATCGCTAAACCGAACAAGCCTAAGCAAGCTGCAAAAGTCGTACCAGCCGATTTGGGTTGCCATCCGTTGAACCACAGGGGAGTCATGGGCAGTGAAGCCGTGAAATAGCTCATCCTACATTCATTGAATAGATATCCGATCATCATCAGCCACCATTTCAAAAAGGGAGCAAAAGATGGAAATGAGGAAACCAACATTGTCATGGAAGACTGGTTCGAAGGTGAGGACGTGCCGAGATTATGAGACATAGAAGACATATCCATAGACATGTGTGACATCTTGAGTTTAAAAGGTGATCGAGAGACGAGGAAAGATCGCTATCGTCGATGAAAGTAAGTAAAACTGAGGTGATGGTCTCGAAGCTGTGCTAGATTGATAGCTGGAGTGTGATGCTGATGAGTCAGGCAATCGAATTTCTGATTGACGATGAAGGAGGGGGTAAAATTAAAGTGCTGTTGGACGAGCAACTGGCGAGTCTGGCGTTGATAACAAACCGATTGCCAAAATCGCGGGCCGTGAACAGAGCGGATACCGCGGGAGAGTCACAAGTCGTACGCATTGATGTGTGAAAGTTGATTGTTGAGAAACGTAATTCGACTGTATGAAGCTGTATGATTCAATGCTCCCTGATCAACAGAATTGACTTTAATTCTCCTTCATCAACTTTTACATACCTTCGGAGCCCCACACACCCTTGAGAAGAGATCTCGATTAATTGCTGCAGTGATTGGTTATGCCTATGTTGAGGTCGACTCTCGAGTGCGACCGGTGTATGCCGTGGCAGAGGTTGCCAAGATTGATATGGGATACAGGGGGGGGTGATCCTCGTTGATCGTATTCAAGCAACAGCACGTATCAGAGTAAGTTTATGTGCAGAGATAGAGTTCTGTGTCAATCTTGAACTTGAAGGCCGATGCGGAATCATATCCTGTCTTGCGAACCGGAGGAAGGTCGATCACGAGCTGGAGGATATTGTTCCTTGCTATGTTCCAGAAACGTGGCTGTGTCATTCCATGATGGTTAGAAAATTATAGGCCGTTGATAACGAAGAGGGTCGATATGTGCAGAGAGCAGAAGTGATCTTGAGCTAGTTATCAGAATCTTGAACCCATTGAGCCACCAACGTAATAAGTGAGATGAGCCGGTAGACAGCTTCAAACCGGATAAAATGGTTCTTCATCGAGGACATAAGACTTTCCATCCACGAGTTTTCAATCAAGAACAGCACGATGAGGATTAGAGATGTGATCAGCAGATATTCGAGTTTAGAAAATTGAAAGCAATCTGATTTGGTTTTGATATCCCGTTATAGTTTGATGTGGGTTCAGTATTTGAGAAGTTGATGAGACGAGAAGTTGAGAAATTGATAGGATGTAAAGTGGAAACATGAAAGTGGAAAGTGGAAAGTAGCACGGGGAAGGTAAAGAGGAAACAATTTCAAATTGACAATGATTTCTTGAGTGATTTTAGCTTTGACTTGGCAAAAATACCTCGCTACACATCAGCTTTAGTGGTAAAAGTCATCTTCATTAGGATTAAACCTTTCAAATTTAAGGGTTACAGACTGACAGTCAGAGCATCTCCAATCGTTGGATTAACGGGGCGGATTAGTTAAATATTTAACTAAACCCGACCCGAAATTCACAGCCGTGAATCTTTAGGCCGGGGTTAGTTAAATATTCTTTAAAAAATCTTCAAGCGGCGTCAAATTTACTCCCAGCTAACCCCGGCGTTAACTAACTCCACGACCCTTGATTTAACCCCGTCTCACCCTATCAAACCCTGCACCCACCTCACCAACACCCACACCACTCCACATCACTCTCACCACGCCTCATCACACACCTCATCAAACCTTCTCTTGATGGATGGATCCACTCCGAGTACTACACGAGCAGCCAGGACTCGATCACCCAACTGGACCGTTTTAGAAGACGAGCAATTGGCAATTTCGTGGGTCACTGTCAGCGAGAACACGATTCAATCAAATAATCAGTCTGGTGCGATATTCTATGGAAAGGTGGCTGAGCATTACAACGAAGCAGCCAAGAACCACAACTGGATCGAGCGGACAGATAAACAGGTCCAGAACCAGTGAGTTTATATGACTCACCTTTGACTTTGTGACCTTGAACTGATTGGATCTTTAGTTGGAAACCTCTGAACACCGCTACGTTGAAATTCTCCGCCATCTACTGGCCAATTGTCCGGAACCCTCCTAGCGGATCCGCTCCCAGCGACTTCATGGGTATAGCTAAGAAGGAGTACTTTAATCAAACTAAGGAGGTGTTTGAAGATGAGGTGGCGTGGCAGGTGTTGCATCGACATCCTAAATGGGCTCAACCCATCGATCCGCTCAAGAAATCCTCAGTCAACACTTCAGTCTCATCCTCCATCAGCTCGCCTATCATTTCTACACGTTCATCACCACCACCACCTTCTTCCGACCCGTTTGAACGTCCTATTGGCCAAAAAAAAGCCAAACGACAACGCCAAGAGGCTGACTTAGATACAGAGAGGACTGAAGAGCTCAAGCGAGCTTCAGACATTCAGGAACGAAAGCTTGCGGTGCTAGAACAAGGACACAAGCTCGCTGATCGTGCTCTTCAAATCGATGCTGAGGCTAAGAGAAGTCACGCTTATTACGAGGATATGAAAGTGTTAACAACTTCTCCCGACTTATGTCCAGATGAAGAGTCCAAAGCTGTTTTAAAGTTGATGAAAAGTAGATTGTTGAAGAAGTACTCAAATGATGAAGAGGGTCAAGCTGATGATTAGATTAGTAGTTTAAACTTAACCTCAATAGTTTTTATTAGTTGTATCCAATTTAGTGGATCTCATCTCATCTCATGTTTTACACTTTTATTTTTTTTGTTCACTCGATTTTTTTTGTTCTATCGATTTGGCTGCTCAATACTATAGCTGAAATACAAGTCATTTTCATGTATGCTTTTAACAACTTGGCATCTAACAACTTGGCATGTGAGAGAATATGAAAATAAGAAAGATACACAATCCATCTTCATGAGATATGTGAAATCGAGACAAACTACATGATAACAAGTTAGTAAAACTTGTAGGAAGTGATGAGTTCCTAATCATTACGACCAGAGCCCCGTTTCATCCACATCGCCGTCTTGAGATCATTCATCAAGCGTAAGTGTCGATCACGATCTCGTAGTTGTGACATGGTAACATAGTACTCAGCAAGCGTATAAGATAACTGTGGATCGACTCGATTTGGATGGATTCTAAGGCCGTGTTTTGTCCGATAGTCTATGGTGACTTGATCAAGTTCACCACGATCCTCTACAACCATGTTGTGGAGGATGATGCAACATAAGATCACCTCAGTCATTTCCTTGAGACTCCAAAGCCGACATGGTTGAGTTAAGATATGCCATCTCGCTTGAAGCACACCAAAAGCGCGCTCGATATCTTTCCTCAGCGCTTCCTGCAGCTTGCAGAAATGTCGACTCGCTTCATCCAAAGGTTTTTGAATGGATTTGATGAGGACGGGCCAGGGAGGATAGATCCCGTCTGCTAGATAGTATCCACGAGTGTAATGGTTCCCATTCACCTCAAAATGGACTTGATCTTCAGAACCTGGAGGGTAGAATCAGTCAGATCTATCCTACATAATGTAATGCGAAAAACCTACCATTGATGAATGAATCAAACAACGGACTCTTCTGTAAGACATTAATATCATTTAGAGCTCCTGGTGTCCCAAAGAAGGCATGCCAGATACGTAGGTTTTTTGAAGCAACAGCCTCCAGTATAACTGAGGTTCCTTTTTCTTTCCCCTCGTACTGACCAGCCCACGCTTGAGGGCAGTTCTTCCAAAGCCAGTGCATGCCATCTATACTCCCTTTACATCCTGGGAAGCCTCTCATTTCATTTTCCTTCAGTATTACTTCCAGCTCTTCAGAGTTTGGAGGTCGTAGATATTCTTTTCCATAAATCTCGATGATATCGTGTACAAAATGTTTTAAACATTCTACTGCAGTACTTTCTCCAATTTTCAAGTAATCATCTAAACCATCAGCAGCAGTTCCATACGCCAACTGTCTCAGTGCAGCGGTGATCTTCTGGGTTGTTGAAAGTCCTAGTTGCAGACAGCAATCCTATATGAAATGTAGATATTAAATTAGATTGAAGAAACTTTTGGAAGATTTAGATTTGGATAAACTTACACGACGTTGTATCCAGTATATGCTGTGTCCTTGCAGGTCAGTAGCCAGTCTCTGAAATAGTTCTGGACTCATCCGGAACCGTCTTTCAAATAAATGGCGTGGATACAACGGCGATTTGACAAAGTAATCCTCTTGAAGAAGTTTATCGGCAGCAATTCGATCGCGTTGAATCCGTGCACGTGTGTTCTGATGGCTGGGTGTAGATGGATTGTTGATGAGATCCATGATCAACTGATCATAATCTTCATCTTTGAGTTCTTCATCAATTGATTTCAAGTGTTGTTCTAAAACAGACGATGCGTCCATTGAGAAGATGATTTGAGTTTGGGCTTCAAAAAGAATTGTGTAGCCTCAAACTAAAGCCAACGGTTGTGGGCACAGTCTGTATATTTGGATTAACTAGGATTAACTCCATCCTTACAGACAACGACTGTGGGAACTGGCTTTAGTTTAGTTGACCCTGACTAAAGATCTCTAAGTTTACCCACGCTAAAGCCAAATTTGACGCCAACGATTGGAGATGCTCTCAAACCTCAGTATGTCATACATATTGGCTTAACCAGGCTTAACCTGCCAACTTCATACATTAAGGGTACTCAAAGCTAGGGCTATGACCCGGCCCTGGCCCTGACCGGCCGAGTGTGCCCGAGCGTTTTCTAGGTGAGGTCGAGGCCGAGCCCGGGGCCTCAAGTCCAGCCTGGGAATAGCAAAAAAGGCCCCGGTACAGGGCTACTCGGGGCCGGGGCCGTCGCAAAAAATCTTTATGGAGGCAATCTTTTGGAAAAATTGACGTCATCAAGCATCCTTCCCGAGCTCTCAAACACGCTTTCAAGGGGATGGTCCGAGCCAGGGCCTGCCCGGTGCTGCCCGGCAGCATCCTTGAGTATTGCGTGGCCGAGGCCGGGCCTGAATCGGCCCCGGGGCCGGCCCTGACACTTCAGGGCCGGGTCATACCCCTACTCAAAGCAAAGTATGTAGCGCTACATACTTTTCGCTACATACTTTTTTTGGCGGGGACAAAGAAAAAAAATATACTTTTGGCCTCGCCTTCCCCGCCAAAAAAAGTATATAGCAAAAAGTATGTACACGTACATACTTACTTTGAGTACCCTTATTTTTGCCTGCTCCATTAGTCTTTGTGTTATGTGCACTGGTAGATATGTATTGTTTGTTTTATGTATTTATTTTATGTTCTTATTTCAAGGTGTATGTTATCTTCACTTGCACGCTAAGTACAACTCATAGCCATACAGTCTTTGTGTGTTCCTTATCTCATACTGAGTTAAGACTCACGGTGTTTGGGGGGGGGGCCGTGTGGCCGAAGACTCCCTGGCTAGGGTGGTTCTCTGCGTGGTGGGTGAAG